ACGAATTCAAAATGATTATCTTCCTAGCTATATTATTTATATCTGAAAACATTAGTCTTTCATTTTTCAATCTAAATATTTTAGTTCATACATGGCTATATTTACAAAAAAATTGCTAGCAATGATAATTATATTCACTCTTTTAGAAAATGTGATCCATTTTTCTCATCATTGATCAAGTGAGACTTACAAGAAGACTTAAAAACAAAAATCATTACATAGTTAACAGATTATTCACAATCCATACAAAGCTATTCAGCTTTTAAAACTTTGAATGTCAATAAAAGAAACAGGATGTGACTTTCAAGCCTACAATTTGTCTAAGACAATTGCTCCACAAAAGGATCTACATTTCTTTAAAGGGGTCCTAAAAGCAAGAAATCCGAACTATTTTATTTTCACTTTGGCAACATTCTTATTAGGTGAATTTACAGAAAAGTTTTACCAATATGTTGGTGTGCCTGAGAAGGAAAAGTTTTATTCATATTTGAAAAATTAAGGATAATAAAACAGTAGGTTTGGCCTTTTTTCTTTTAGTGTTTCAAAAGTATCAGTAACACACATCACATACCTTCTAATTACCATCCTCCCTTTATCTTATTAGGATTTCTCAGTCAGACGTAAATTGGCATGTCATTTCTCAGATTTTAAATTTCAGAAATGTTACATATTATTCTAAATATTTTGTACTAAGACCAAGAGTCCTCAGCACAAGTTGAAGTAGACAATTTATGATAACTCATTAATTGAATCAAAAAAGATGACAAAATGGTGTGATTAAAGCCTCAAGTCACAGACTTGGGATGGAACTAATTATTATTTGAATGATTTTCAAATTCCCATCTACTGACTAACAAATGAAAAAAGTCTCAGAAAAGAGGTAGAGCAGCAGATGAGGAGCTAAGAATTAAATCAAGTCTTACCTTTAGTCATTATTTTAAAACTGAAATCTAATAAATAACCAAAATTTTAATTTTCAGTTTATTCAGAAAATAATTTATTCCAGCAATAAGATATGCTACATGCCCATTATAAATTATTGCTGGGAATGTTTGATTAATTGAAAATCATTTTTTCTATACACTTAAATTATTTGACTCAATTTGTTTAAAACATACAATTAAAAATGAACATTTTTATATTACTTTTAATCTCCTAGTTTTAGGATAATATTGACTACAATTTCTAGCTTTCATATATAGTAAAGAAAAGAAAAATATCCCTGGATTTCTCTAATATGCCAAAAACTATTCATTCTGCTCCTTTTAGACGTGGAAACATTATTTAAGCTCTTTGCATCACCTCACCTATGAAATGATGATTCGAGATGGACTGTGGAGAGTAACAATCCTTAATCAGAGGATTATTCATATTTGTGATGGACTATATAAAAAGTACTTAATACAATGACTAAAATGAAGTAAACAGAAGTTATTATTAGCTATATCTTTTACTGAGTACTAATAGAGCATTTAATTATTGATATTATAATTAGAAAATGAAATGGTCACTCAAATTCCAGTGAAATTACATAAAACATTAGGATTTAGCAAAACAATACACAAAAAGCCATAAATAATACCTAATGAATTCAGGGATGAAATTCTCTTTGGGAATCTCCCCTATAAGTCAATTGTACATTAGATCTATAATTTGTAAAATGCTATCATAACAATAGTCAATATGATTCTATTGTTTTACAGTTAGTGATGACATTTGAGATATGAAAGTTCATCAGTGGCTCACAAAGACCCTGTTCAGTAATTGATTCATGAAGTTTGTTTTACAATGGAGAGTGTTAACAAAATTAAGTATTATTTTCCAAACCAAGTGTTGTAAAAACAAAATAAATAAAAGGAACTTTATGTAAAACCTGAAAGAAAATTAAACCAGTTTTTTTTTTATCCCTGATACCCTATTGCCATATAGGATGTAGATATCATCATCATATTTTAACAATACATGCAATAGTTGTCCATATTACTCATGATTCATATGTGCCTCTGGAATTCACCAAGTAACAAGGAAAATTTTATTACTTTAATTCCTTGCAAAATTTAATACCTTTAAGAGCTGAATGAACGGTTTAACTAAATAAAGGTGAACTAAATTGAACCAACTTAATCATCTTAGGAACAACACCAAGCTTAAAATTAGAAATTCAGTCTATTGCCTGTGGCTGATGTAATAGGTAGTAGAGAAAGATTTTCTGCAATGTATACAAAACAATTCAAGTGAACTATTGGGATAAAATTTTTGTTGGCCTTGGGAAACTAATTTACAGTTATAGAATGCAGAAAACATTTTGAAATGTGTCAGCCTTTCTAAGATCTACACTGAAAGCCAACAATACTCGATTTAGTGATATCCAATACAAGAGAAAGTTTGACAGGAATAAACATTTTGTTTTGGGTATTTTTAATAAAACAATATCACACACTAGCTGATATGTCAAGATACATATCTTCCCTTTGAATTAAAAATACA